GACACTGTGAATGTTTGTGAGAGATTAATGTTTGTGGATGATGTTATCACTCCTAAATAGATTGTAAACCTGTATGCAGAAAGGTATGTGTATATGTATTGGGTCTGACATTTCATTACAAATAACTATTTCTCAATATGTTGAGATTCTCTTTAAGGTTTATAGCCATAAAACTGATAGCTTCCTGAGAAGTGCATGTACAACTTGCCTGTACCCATTTTAGGAAAAAGAAAATCCAAGACTTTAAAGAAGAAAGGGCTTCATAGTTTTCAAGTCAGAGGAATCATAACAAATGATGTTGTATCAAATTTATAAAGATTTACAATTTTATGTTTTCCCACATTTTACTTATCTTACTCCCATGACGGTTTTATAAGAAAGGAAGAATTAGAGTAGTGTAATTTCTTTACAAATGAGTATATCCAGGAATACAATTTCACAAGCGAATCTGGAGCCAGGGCTTCCTGTCTCCCAATTTACTCATGGCCTCCTCACTAGGAAGGATAAAGGAGACCAAAACTACAACCAGTACAGAAATGAATCTGTATTAGTCCGTTTTCACATTGCTATAAGGAACTGCTGGAGACTAGGTAATTTATAAAGAAAAGAAGTTTAATTGACAATTGACTCACAGTTCTGCATGACTGGGGAAGCCTCAGGAAACTTGCAATCACAGCAGAAGGGAAAGCAGGCACATCTTACATGGCAGGAGGCGTGAGACAGAGCAGGAAAAACTACCATTTATAAAATCATCAGATCTTGTGAGAATTCACTCACTATCACAAGAACAGCATGGAGGAAACCGCCCCCATAATCCAGTCACCTCCCTCTCTTGACACTTAGGGATTACAGGTCCCTCTGTCAACACATGGATGTGGACACAGGGCTAAACCATATGAGTCCTTGACATGTAGTGTAGTAAATGGTCATATTTGGCTGATTCTGTGAAGTTAAACATTGCTCCATTTGTTTATTGGCTACTGGACATTCTGTTTTCAGTGTGAATTCCTGCTTATATCCTTTGCCTGGTTTTCTATTAGGCTTCTTGTCCTTCACTTATTAATTTGTGGGGTTTTTTAAAGTATGGATATCAATCCTTTTGTGTTTCAATTATCCTTTTCTGATTTGTAGCTTGCCTTTAGCTTCTGTATGATGCCTTTTATTGTGAAGTTTTTTAATGTGGCTAAATTTATGACTCATTTTCTTTAAAAATTATGCTCACTTGAAGTCATCAAGTCCTCTATATTCTCCTATTTTTATATTATAATCATTTCAGAATAATTACATATAGCAAAATGAACAGGTATTAAGTATATAATTCAATGAGTTTTGATAAATATATTCACTCAAATAACTAGTACACTTATCAAGATAAAGAGTAGCAGTGCAAAATATGGGTTATGGGGCAAATCCAGCCCATAGTTTAGTATTGTTTATGAGCTAATATCACTTTTTACATTTTTAAATGGCTGAAAAAAATTAAAATAAGATTATATAAAATTCAAATTTTAATATTTATAAATAAAATTGTATTGTACAAGGCCACATTCATTCATTACAATATAATTGTTGAGTAGTTGCAATGGAAACCTTATGGTCTGTGGATTCTAAAATATTTGTTATCTGGTTCTTTAGAGAAACATGTCAGTCTCTGATACAGGCCATTTCTATCACCTGAGAAAGTCCTTTTGTGTTTATATCCAGTATGAGTACTTACTTTTTCCAAAGAAACAATCACCATTATGAATTTTATCTTCACAGGTTTGTAGTGCCTATTCTTGCACTTGAAATAAATTGATTCATATTGTGAGTACTCTTGTGTTTGTAGTTTCTCGGACTGGACATATTATTAAATGATATTCATCTGTTTTGTTGCATGCCTCAATAGATTATCCCTTTTTATTACTAAGTGGTGTTCCATTATACATACATTCCATAATTTGCTTCTCTGTTTATCAGATGATGGACATTTCTTGATTTTTCTGCTATTATCAATAAAGATTTAATAGACATTCTAGTATATTTTTGTTTCTGCACTGTTTTGACATTTTACACTACAACGTGTAATATCTGAGAGATGCCATTTCTCTGAATCCTCTCCAATACTTAGTATTTTAATCTTTTAAATTTTAATCCCTCTAGTGGTGTGTAATGGTATCTCTTTGTGGTTTTAATTTGAATTCTCCTGATGACTATTAATATTGAAATTGCTTAATGTATTTGTAAGCCTTAGTATACAGTTTATGTAAAGTTTCTTTTACTCATTTTTTAATAATTGGTTGTAGGAATTATTTATAAAAGTTGGATATAAGTCATCTGTTGGACACATTTGTTTTGTGTTTGTGTATGTGTGTGTACATTATTTTTTTCCAGGCTGTGTGTGCACTTTCTTTTTTTTCTAAAACAATGTCTTTTAATAATAAAAAATTAAAATTTTGATGGAGTCTCATTTATCATTTTTCTTGGTATTCTATGTAAGAAATGTTTGACTACCTCCCAGTCACAAAGATAGGTCTTATGTTCCCTTCTGTAACCAATTTCTAGTTAGTGCGTGTGTATGGTATGAGGAATTGAATCAGGTTCAGCTTTTGGAAACAGATATCTAGTCAATCAGAACAATCTCTTGAACAGATTTGCTTTTCCTTGTTGATTTCCATCAGTGCATATGCATGAAAATAATAAAGATAAACAAATAGAATATAGGGTACAAAATAGGTCCCTAAATAGATGGTCAACTGATCTCAACAAAGGAAAATGTCAAGGAAAGTTGGTAGTGCTATGATGCATGCAAATCATGGTGAATCTAAAAATAATTATGCTGAATTAAAGACATCAAGCAAGAGTACATAATGTATGGCCTTATAAACACAAAATTCTTGGAAACGCTAGCTAATGTACAGTGACAAAAGTGGATTCATGATTGCCTAGGGAACGGTGGAAAAAACTTGAGGGAAAGATTACAAAGGAGTATGAGAGAAGTTTGTATAAAGTTCAAAAAAAAAAAAAAAAAGAAAATGACCAATTGTACAAGTCAATATAGTAGGTACTTCTTGAAGATGGGTATTGACTTGGGAAGTGCAGAAGGGGGCCTCCGGGAGTGATGCTAGCATTCTATATCTTTACCTGGAGAGTCACTAAACAGATATAAACATCATTAGCAATTAAAAGAACTATACTCTTGGTACATTTTCTGTGTATACATATATAAAATTCATTGAAATGCAGTGGAGGAATGTCTTTAAAATGCTTGGAGTAGAAGCTGAAGCCCTTTGAACCCCTGTATTCAACACAGACACACAAAAATAATGTTAAAACATCCCTAAAACATTATCCTCATTTATTTGTATGCTACATACTTGTTTCAATGTGAAAGGAAAAGAAAGAATGTCTGTTAAAGCACTACGGATTTTTTATTCAAGTGTGTCATACGTATCGTATCATTTGTCATGCCTGTCTTCTTAATATATAATTTGCATATTGTCCCTACCAGTACTATTTCACAAAATTATTTTAATGGCTGCTCTTTAGTCTACTGTATATCTATACCATATTTATTCTACTGGACATCTGAATCTTACTCAAACGTGTAACCTTGAAGAACATTTAACTCAATTCATTATTTTGTTATTGTCAATATATTTATAGCTCTGCCTTTGACAACGTTACTTTTATTTCTTAAGTATACATGCCTAGATGTTGAATAACTTGGTAAAAGGTTGTATGGAATTATTTGGCATATATTATTTAATATATATTATCAAACTGTCTTACAGAAATTAATACAGGTATTTATATATATTATCATTCTTGTTTACCTCACCTTTAAGATTAAAATATTATTTATCATTTCACAGGTAAATAAGCATATGACTTATTATTTTATTTGAATTTTTTAATGTGGTTGACCAAGTTTAATAGCTACTATATATATATATAAAATGAACATTACATATATAATATTCACAGTGAATGACTTCTGCATACTTTTCTATGGGATATGAATATTTTTTGTATCAACTTGTAATCACCATTTATGTATTTTTATTTTGGTCAGCTAAAATTCTTTTTCTCTTCTCCATTGATTCTTCTTTTCCCTTCTGTAGTAAGACCAAAACATCCTAATAAGTGTGCTGATGAGGGGTTTTTTCAGCACAAAAAGGATTTTGTGTCACTTTTCTTAAGACTTACTTCGAATTTCCCAATTATAATTTTGAATCTTCTGTATTTCTTGATTCTACTTTTCTCTAAAATAGCCTCGCCTTTTTTTTTCCTCTTAACTGATTGTTATTTGTTTTTCTAAATCCCAGGGTATATGTAGGAAGAATGTGGGGGTTATATCTTCCCTGTGAGGAAGGTTTTACAACATTAGGCAACTCCATTGCAATAGATAGTGAAAACACATGGTCAGAGGTCCCTTAGTGTAGAACTGTGGTGTTAAAGTAGACAAATAAATACAAAAAACAAACAAACAAAAAAAACTCAGGTCCATAAGGAACAACAAAGAAATGGAAATAAAGAGATTTTTAATATACTGAGTAGAAAAAAACAGTAAAAGCGTTTTGAGTAAGACCTGCTGACTAGAATTGCTATTCTTGTTCTTAACTTTTTCTTTTCTTTTCTTTTCCCTTGTGTATTTGCCTAATTCCCTGAAGAATTAATAGATATCCGGGATCAGGCTAACATTCCTCTTAGCGTTCACATCAGTGGACAACTCAGTGCCTCCCACATAGCAAGTATTCAACAAGCAAACATGAGATATTAGGAAGAGAGGACTAACACTGGAGAAAATCCAAATTTTCATGTCTTCTCTATCACAATTGGTAAGAAAAATTAAAACTACCTAGACCTCGGTTTTCCTATTAAAAGATAAGAATGTCAATACCTGCTTTACAAATTATTTTATTTCATTGAGAAGGCTGAATCAATCATAGATGGGAAAGTAATTTTAAAATCTAGATATTATGTATGTTACAACAGAATAACATGAAAAATAGAAAAAAAAGAATGCATGTTCACTGGAACTATTCATTTTTCCCATCTATAAATCCCCCAAATCAGGACTCATTTTCCTACTAAGACCTTCCTCAATGCTTTCTTCACATCCTTGTTCCTCAGACTGTATATTAAAGGGTTCAGCATGGGGATCACTGTGGTGTAGAATACAGAGGACACCTTCTCCTGGTCCAGGGAGTTACTTGAAGGGGGCTTGAAATACATGAAGGTAATGGACCCAAAGAAGATCCCCACAGCCATGAGATGAGAGCTGCATGTTCCAAAAGCTTTGGACCGGCCCTCTGAGGAGCGGATGTGAAGGATGCTGTAGAATATGAAGGCATAGGAGATAGCAACAGCTAGGGTGGGCACCAAGGTTTTAAACCCCGCAATGATAAAAAGCAGAAGCTCATTGAGGTATGTGTTGGAGCAGGAGAGATTGAGGAGGGGAAGAACATCACAGAAGTAATGGTTGATAATGTGGGATTTGCAAAAGGACAGTTTCATCATGGCACTTGTATGAGCCAAGGCAGAGAGAAAGCCCAGGAAGAAGGCAGCCAGCACTAGCGGTGAGCAGACCCATGAGGACATGATCACGTTATAAAGCAGTGGGCTACAGATGGCAACGTAGCGATCATACGCCATGGCAGTCAGGAGGTAACCCTCAGCCACCACAAAGACCACAAAGAAAAAGAGCTGGACCATGCACTCAGAGTAAAGGATTGTGTTCTTTCCTAGGAAGTTCACCAGCATTTTGGGAGTAATGACAGAGGAATAGCAGAAATCAACGAAGGACAAGCTACTGAGGAAATAGTACATGGGGGTGTGAAGCAGAGGGCTGACGGCAATCAGGAGAACCATGCCCAGGTTGCCCACTACTGTGACCAAATAGATACCCAAGAACAGGAGGAAGAGGGGCAGCTGGATCTCTGCTTGCTGTGTTAAACCAGCTAAGACAAACTGAGTTGCTGTAGAATAATTTTCCACGGTCATTCTTCTTTAGGCATTTCTGTGAAAACAGAAAGCGTGAATTACATTAACACGGGCCCTCACTGTTCTTCCAAACAAAACCAAACTGCATAAGCGAGGTTGACAGCAGCTAACAGACTGAGTCATAGTTTTCATTGTTTCTAACCTTGATACCTCTGCCTTGTCTCCCTAAAGTTCCCTGGGCCTCCTCCAAGTTGGTCCAGAATTTAAGTTACAAAAAAGTACTTCCTGACTGACTCAGTAACCTTTGCCTCCTGAATTTGGTAGGAAAAAAAGCAAATGTTTACTTTATGGGGAGAATTTCTGATAGCCAGTTTGTGACAGTTAAACAGGAGAAGAGTTTGAAGGGAGATTCAATCACTTTTTCAATTTCCCCAGTTTTCTCCTACTCGAAGACCTGCACATATTTCTCACAGTATCTGAAAACAAGGAGAGGATGAAGCCTCAGCCTCAGAGAATTGAAAATGTCTATTACTTCCAACTGGAGTGAGGGTGGGCATGGGGTTGGGTGTAAGGCATCTACTCATTGTGCTGAATAAAAATATCTCCAGGGTAATAATACTGCAGAAGTAGGAGTCTCCACATAACACCTCTGGCCCTCTGCTAAGCTGGAGAAGGGTGGGGGACGCAAAAGCTTCATCATTGGAATCACTGATGAAGGACAATCTCTTGTAACCCAGGTGTTCATCTATAAAGTTCACAAAGAGAGTCTTATTGGACCTCAACTATTGCCAAAAGAGTAGGCTGGCTGGAATCTTAGCAGTGAACTACTTCCCCCTTAGTTATGAGATCCGCACCCCCCACAGAATGCCCTTACCGTGGCAGGAAAAGGTGTTTCTGAAGATGTCTGAGAAGAATGTTGCTACAAGTATAAATCTTGAACTTTCCAAAGCTTGGTACCCTTGGTGGTTTGAGCCCCGCATATAAAGAAATAAAAGAGAATGCTGTACTTTTCCCAGAAGAAATACTAGAATCTAGTTGGTCCACCCTTTTCAATATGAACTGGCTCCCTGGTGGAGCCATTTCAGAGAAGTGTGTGTGTTGTCAGGTGCCAGTTATTCATTTAAGGCTCTAAACAATCCAGCTAGAAAGAAACCAGCTCAATTTTGTGAGTTCAGCACTTCCAATATCTATTTGATAACAAAAATATTGAATGAGCTGACTGAGGTGAACTTATAGTCTACTCAGCAATGAATGGAAAGGTTTGGGTATCAAAGTAGGTATATTTCAAGGTTTGACTTTACCGCAGACCAGTCTGTAACACTGGACAAGTCATTTCATGTAAACTTCATTGTTTCAATCTTTGAAGTGGGATACCTGTTTCAAAGGTAAAATGATCAATGTAAAGATTCATTATCTAAAAACACTTGTCAACATTTCATGTGGCACATATTTTTAAATGCAGTTGAACAGAGAAAAGTACATAACATCAGGAGATGAAAAGACACTACCTTTGTATGAAGAAAAGAGAGACACAGGTGTTTGTTTGTCCTAGGTCCTTCACTTTGGTAAGAATAATAAAAATGTTTTAAACATTTGGTGCTGGTTAGGTTTTAAAACGTTTGTTTTCAGATTTGGAAATTTCGAGAGGGATTTAAAGTGTTGGGCCTTTTTTGAAGGAGTTGGGGGCATTGAAGTGTTTTCATCCCCAAGGGACAAGCGCTTACGAGGCCAGGAAGAAACACAGCAGAGCTATGCAAGCTGAACGGACTCTTGATCCATCTCCTGGTGACCTGAGAACATTTCTTTCCCTTTCTTTTCTTTTCTTTTCTTTTTTTTTTTTGGAGACAGTTTTGCTCTGTTGCCAAGGTTGGAGAGCAATCGTGCGATCTCGGCTCATTGCAACCTCTGCCTCCCAGGTTCAAGCAATTCTTCTGCCTCAACCTCCTGAGTAGCTGGGATTAAAGACATGCACCATCAAGCCCAGCTGATTTTTGTGTAAAGACGGGATTTCACCATGGAGGTGAAATCAGGAGGTGAGACCAGGAGGCTGGTCTCAAACTCCTGACCTCAGGTCACCTCAGCCTCCCAAAGTGCTGGGAGAACATTTCTTTAAGATGGATAAGAAGGTAGGAATTTATGTTTAATACTCTGTCCAGAATGAATACTCTACCTGGGATTGTATCTTTATCTCTTAGAAATTGGAGCCAGGCGCGGTGGCTCATGCCTGTAATCCCAGCACTTTGGGAGGCTGAGGTGAGCAGATCACCTGAAATCAGGAGTTCAAGACTAGCCTTGCCAACATGGTGAAACCCTGTCTCTACTAAAAACACAAAAATTAGCTGGGTGTGGTGGTAAGCATCTGCAATCCTAGCTACTCGGGAGGCTGAGGCAGCAGAATCACTTGAACTCGGGAGGCAGAGGCTGCAGTGAGCCGAGATCGCACCACTACACTCCCGCTTGGGCAACACAGCGAGACTCCATCTCGAAAATAAAAAAAAAAAGAAAGAAAGAAAGAAAGAAAAAGAAAGAGAGAGAGAAAGAGAGAAAGAAAGAAAGAAAGAAAAAGAAAAAGAAAGAAAGAGAGAGAGAAGGAAGGAAGGAAGGAAGGAAGGAGGGAAGGGATGAAGGGAGAGAGAGAGAAAGAAAGAAAGAAAAAGAAAGAGAGAGAAAGAAAGGAAGGAAGGAAGGAAGAAAGAAAGAGAAAGAAAAAAGAAAGAAAGAAAGAAAGAAAGAAAGAAAGAAAGAAAGAAAGAAAGAAAGAAAGAAAGAAAGAAAGAAAGAAAGAAAGGTGTATGTGTAGGCTGGTGTGCAAGAAGACAAGTAACACTAATAAATACATAAACCAGAAAAATTTCAGGTAAGCAAACACTTCACAGTCGTATGGAAATTCCAGCAAGGCTCTCTGCCAGAACTGGTTGAACTTAGATTAGGAATCGTTCCTGCAGATTGTGTGACCCAGATTATAAAGAGGTGATAAGGCAAGATTAATAGAAGAGGAGAAGTGAGGACATAACCTAGAGGAGAGAATGGTGGGGCAGATGCTCCTCGGTAAACAGAAAATGTTGCACAAACGTCAGCATGGTTGCTAATCGCCAACTGTCCTTGCATTAGATATGATATAATTGTCACAAAGGACATGGGACACTTACCTTGGTCCTGCACAGAGACAGAATTTCTTAGGAATTGTTCACTTTGCTGAAGTCACAGATCCCTGTAATAGCCAACAAGGAACAAAGTCTCTCCTACTACCTTATACACACATTTATATGCCAAGGGCTGAATTATTTGGTTGGCTAAAAGTAAAACATCAAAATGTATTAGATTGTACAAACAACTCTTGGACCCTGAAGCAGACCATGATATCCAGCTTCCTCAATCTTAAAAGCAAGAGGGCAGCATGATATGCAGCTTTCATCTGAGGTTTAGTGAGCTTAGGGATATCATTATGAATACAAAACACACCCAAACACACACAAATCCCCCAAGACCTATTGAGCCCAGAGATTACTGGTGTGCTCAGCATTTAATAACCCTCTGCAGAAATGATCACATCATGTCCTGGGCCCCCCATTGCCATTTATCCCAAGAGTGTTGGAGGTCCTAAAAGAAGTTTATTTTATTTTTAGTGTTACCAATAAGGATTCTGTAACACAGAGGAATTAGATCAATGATTCCCAAAATTGATTCCGAAGTCAGTTGCTGGTTCTTGACTAAAAGTTCATCAATGAGTAAAAGTTGTTTTAAACTGAAGAAAAACAAAGACAACATAGAATTTTTTTTCTAAAACTAAACTTATTCAATGTAAAGGCCGTCCTTTCCTGAGGTTGTCTATTTTACCTCTTTAAATGTTTTGGGATTTGAAATTTTCTTTCATTTTATTATGTGGTTCTGACAGTAGATAATAGTTATGTCCTTTGGTTGCTTGCTTGTTTATTTTTACATTGTGTTTGAATGCCTTTACTTGGAAAACCAAATTTTTGGCAACCCTATTGTGGTCTCTCATTGCAATTATATTGTCTTGGGGCTGGGTGCGGTGGCTCATGCCTGTAATCCCAGCACTTTGCGAGGCTGAGGCAGGTGGACCACTTGAGGTCAGGAGTTCGAGACTAGCCTGGCCAACATGGTGAAAACCCGTCTCTACTGAAAATACAAAAATTAGCCTGGCGTGTTTGCGCATGCCTGTAATCTCAGCTACTCCAGAGGCAGGAGAATCACTTGATCCTGGGAGGCGGAGGTTGCAGTGAGTGAGATTGTGCCACTGCACTCCAGCCTGGGTGAAAGAGCAAGACTCCACCTCAAAAAAAATAAAAGAAATTGTACTGTCTTGGGAAAGCCAAATTCTGACAACTATAAAGTTGGTTATCATAGATAATCAACGTAGAATGACCTGCTTCTCCTTCCTGTGAAAGAGTTCAGATCAGAAATCTAAGATCCTGAGAAATACTTTCCATGGAATCTTTTCAACTGAACCAATTTTTAATTACCAGAATTTAGTAATTATTCAGCCTCTGTTCCTGTACTATTTCCTGTGACTGCAGTTTATGTCACTCAATGGCTTAAGCAGCTTTAACGTATTCCACCCTGTCCAGGGTACCTCCCATTCCAGATCACATGAGTTCCATGCTATCCTGATGTAGAGCCACTGTCAAAGGGGATGTAGCTCTTAAGAGCCACCTCAACTTTTTGCATTGGTCCTGCCAGAAATATACAGGATTTCCCCAGTGACTCACTTCTTTAGGGAAATCAGCTATAAAGCATCCAAAGATCTCTAGTGATGTTTACACATAAAAATTACGTTAATACAGTTGATTCAGAACTGAATTTACTCAGTAGCTTGTTTTAGTTTCAAATCTGCCCCAATTCTATTATCATAAATTATAACAACTACTCCTTTTTATAGTATCATAATTAGTAATACTGCTTATAGATGCTCACTGTGTGGCAGACATTGAACTAGACACTTCATATATTTATTATGCTCATTTAATTAAAATAAATATATATCTCTAAGGAAGTCATTGAGATTCTAAGACTTAGATTCCTGATCAATAATCAGAACTAAGTAAATCATTTTTCAAATTTCTTAGTGCCAGAACTTTTATGATGAGAAAATCTTATACCAGAA